CCCGACTGCGGAGTCTGGCGGCGTCTGCGCGGCGGGGCGGGGCGGGGCGGCCGGGCCCACGTGGGCCGGTTCGGCTTTCCGGAGCCACCTCCCCACCCTGGGCTACCTTGACCCGGGCCTTCCAGGTCCCGTGCTATCCCCTAACCGCATCGGCTGGGCCCTTCCGATCGGTTCGCCTCACTGCAGACACAGTGACATTTTCAAGATGAAAATCTGATCATGCAGCACCTTCCTGCTAACACCCTTGGGTGGCTTCCCCACTGCAGGGAGAAGCCTTAAGGCAGCGGCCGCGGGGCTGTGCGCGCCTGGCCCTCTCTGCCTCTGCGGCTTCCTTCTTTACCCTCCGTCTCTGCTGTTGGGCCTCACGCTCTTTTCTGCCCCGCGGCTTTCGCATACACCGTTCCCTCTGCCTAAACTGCTTTTCCCCCTTTAGACTTATATTTCATTTCTCTTCTCAGAGAAATCTTCGACTCCCTAGACCAGGTTAGTCCCCCTTTTATATTATCTCAGGGTACCTTTGCTCCTTTTCTTCATAGCGTTTATCACAATTTGGATTATATATTCATTTTGTGCTTATTTGATTAAAGTCACTTAATGAAAGCTAGGTCTTAAGAAAGAAAATCCGGTCTGGGACAGGGCTCGGGGCTAATGTCCCGCACCCACGACTCAGTGGCCTCCTCCCGGCAGGGCAGAGAACCCCACCAGGTACCTGTGCATTGGCTTCCTGTGTCTTTGCCCAGGTGAGGAGGAACAAAGTTAAAAGAAAGGGTCTCGGATTCCAAACTCCAGTGAATTCTTCTCAGAGTTCTGGTTCTATTTTACTGAAGACTGATCCTCTCACTCCCTTTCTCCTGGGGGGAAATATGCAGTTTGGGGAGCCAGTTTACTATCAAAGAGAATAGAGTAGTTGCTGATCCTAGTGATATGAGGCAACCTCTCCCAGTTCCAACTTGATGCCAACCCACCATCCTGCCACCTAGAGACTGAATGGCTAATTAATTCACACCAATTAATCCTATATACAAAAAAAGGGGAAATGGAAGAGAAAAAAATTTATTGTGTGATTATAACAGCTCCTATTTTAAGAGGGAAAAGGAAATAAAACAAAGGCAGAAGTGTCACGCCCGTACCGCGACCGGCAACGGGATCGCAACCTTTGGTCGGGATCGCAACCTTTGGTGTTGCGCCTGCACCGCGCTCAGCCAGAGAGCGGACCGGTCTCTATATGGGATCCGAACCCTCGGCGGGAGCGCAGCCACGCTCCCAAGTGCCGCCCTCTACCGAGTGCGCCACCGGGCCGGCCCCCTCAGCTTCATTTCTACATCAGGTCCTGAGCCCTAACTAGTCTTCCCCCTTCCCTTATCCACTGCAAGTTCCCCTTGCCTTCAGCCAGGGTTTTCTTCCTTATGAGGTGACCCAAGTCCTCACTCCTAAAGGCTCTGAGCTTTGGTGGTCTAGGATTATGCAGGTCTCCCCATACCATAGAGCCAAAAAGTCATTTACTGTTTGGTCTGCCCAGAACAGCACCTCCCTGCCTTTTCTGTCCCTGTCTTTCCCAACCGTAACCACGTGAGTCAAACGAGAGCTTGATGAGTCCTGGGATAGGAGCCCCACTCCAAGTGAGCCAGTCAGAGTCCTTCTCTGAGGCTTTCTAAAATGAAATTAAAGATGAAGCAGGAAAGATGTGAGCTTAAGGCTGCCTCAATCATATTCTCCTCCAAGTGGAAAAAGTCAGTCTGTAGTTGGAGAAAATGGCATTGACACACAGAAGCAGAGATGAAAGCGGTCCTGGTAATGTTCCAGTCCCCGTTTCCTGAGGCATTGTAGTTTTCTATGTCTTCCAATGAGGTCTTTATTTTGCCAAGTCTAACTCGAGTAAAATTTCTTTCACTGACAATGAAAAGAATCCTGATTTATACAATAGCACAAGGTGGTGACCTAGGGGTCCCCTGGGTTCCATTCATTTACCTCTCAATCCTTATTAAGTAGTAGCAACTCCATTTCCCCTCAATTGCCATTATCAGTCCAGTCTATACTGTGACCCTCCCTTTCCTCTAGTGCTATGAGGAGCCTGAAATGCAATGGACTCATCTTTGCATTCCTTCCTCCGTAGATGCTAAAACCTCCTGACCTGCAGTACCTAGAATCTCAGAGACAGGAAGCAAATTCTGAGAGCGTCCTTAGGTACTACATCTACCTCTACCTCTTCGTATTTATTCTGGCTACAAAAGACAAATAATTATATAGTCATGCCCCATATAATGACATTTTGTTTGACAACAGACCATGTATATGACAGTGATTGGAAAAATAGGCAGTGTAGTAGGCTTTACCATCTAGGTTTACATATATATACTTTATGATGTTTGCACAATGATGAAATCGTGTGATGGTGCATTTTTCAGGACCCATTTCTCAGAATGTGTCCCCTTCGTTAAGACTTGAGTCATCAATTCCATTGTTCTATAAAGTTGATTGCTTCCAAATAACGTAATACCTGATAAGTCAAGTGAATTCCAAGGGCACCAGACTGCAGCCTCTCTTTTCTCAGTCAAGGACAATGTTGTGTGGTATACTCTGGCACTGTATAATTAATAGAGTCAGTGCTCGGACAGTGGTCCTGGCCACTCCATAATTTTCAGAAGGCTGGGAGCCTGGAGAACAAAGGCTCTAGGAAGGCAGGGGTGTCCTTCTCCAGGCAGGACGCCAGGGAATCAATCACCCCAAATGAAGGGGTATTTATGGCTGTGTCTGCCCATCCATATACATGCCAGAGACTTAATTGACAGGGACACAGAAACCACCAGAGATGGCCAGTATCAGCCCAAACAGGATTCTGCAGAAGGCCATACCATCATGAATATCCAGCAATGGGCAGTGGGTAAGAATCTTGGCAAGCAAACACATAGCAGAGCCAAGAGAGGCTAGCAGTGAATAGCCAGATCCAGGCTCCAGAGCCTAGGTTCAGGCAAGGAGACAAAGGAACATGAGAGGAATTTCTACTCCAGGAAACAGGACAGGCGTAAGAGCTCCTCATAGGTGGATAATTTTCTCAATGTCAATACTCTCAGGAAGAAAGGGGTGGATAGGATTAAGGTGTTTCAACCTCAAAGACCTTGCTCCTTCTTATCCATTCATTCACATTCAGCACATGGTTACAGACAGAGTGCTTACTTTGTGCCTTGTACTGTGATGGGGGATTCAGACAGAATCAGAACTGGTCGTGACCTTAGGGAGCTCCTTGTTTAGAAAGGGAAACGGAAGAGAGCTATACAATGTGAGGGTCTCTACAACAGGGCTAGGAGGCAAAAGTAATGAGCATAAAAGAAGGAAAAGAAAGGCTTCATAGGGGTGATATTTGAGTCAGGCCTTGAGGGATGAATAGAAGCTCAGCAAGAGAGAGCAGGGGAAGGCATAGGAGACTGCATATTCAGAGTGACTTTGGAAAACATGGAGTAGGCCAGTGTGGCTGGAGCCTGGAGGGATAAGGTGGTAGAAGAGGCGGCAAAATAAAGTCGGCCCAGTTGTGAAAGGTTTTGACCACCATTCCAAGGAGTTGGGCTTCATCCTGTGGGCACCAGGGAAATAACTGAAGAAGCCCTCAGAGCTTCCACATCAGAACAAAGCACAGGCATCTAGTCTTAGAGAACAAGCTTTCTTCTCTTTTCCTGAGTTCACATCATATGTCACCTTCCGCACATGGCTTTGGGAACAGGCAAATCAAATCATTTTCATCTTTTTGGGCTAGACAAAAATAATGTGCCTTGAAAATAGTTCAATAACATCATAGTTGTGAACATTGTTACTTGGGCCCCATGACCAGGCACAGCCTCAGAAGACCTTTGACATACCAGAGAGCCCTTAAGGCAGATTAGAAGGGAAATTATTCCCTAGAACTGGCTCATCTCAGGAAAGGAAGGCCTAGGAGGGAAGCTGGTGACCTAGTTGTTTTGTTCATCCGTTTCTCTACTGCCTCTTAAAGTGCCACTCAGGTCTATCAAGGAATTACTGTGTGATCACCTTACGTAAAACACATGGCCATTCCCTCACCCTCAATATGGCTGTTTTCTTAGCTGCAAAATGAGGGGGAAGTACATCAAATCAGAAGTTTCAAAGCTTTTTTTTTTTTTTAACCCTTGGTATCATTTTTTTCCTTCTACAAAATCTTTCCAGTATACCCAGTTTAAGGTCTTCTGTCTTCCCCTGAAACTTCCACCCTAAACGGCTCCCTAGGGGGCTCCAAGGAAGACTTTAAAGCTCAGTAGGGCACAGTTTCAAATCCACTGCACCAGATAAACCTAGGAAATGAATTCTCCCTGCTCCCCCGTCCCTGCAAGGGGAAAAAGAGAAACAGGGGTGTTTTGGAGCTGCTGGAAGAATTAAAAGTTTGTAGACTCGTTCTCTCCAATGCACCCAAGTGGCAAGTAGCTTCTCCAAACCCTCTTCTACCAGAGGACCAGAAAGCCAAATCCAAGGTCCTGAGGCTGTTGAACTACCACAGCCCACAGGAGGGAGTGAACTAGGTGGAGAAGCTGAGCTGAAGGAGGAATGAGAGAAGGGGGTGCCTGTTTCACCTCCTTCCTAGCAGCTGCCTCTGTGGGCTCCATAATCCCCATGCCAACTCCCCCACCTCACCCTCCGGCCGCCCACCTCTCCTCCACCCACCCCATTCATCAGTAGGAGGGCAAAGTATCAGCACAGCCTTTCAGGGCCTGATAGGTCCTTTCTAGGTGCCCCCGACATGTAACCATTTAACCCCCAGCACAAAGGGCCAGGCTGAATGGGCTTGGAGCCAAGGGCTCGTGCAGAAGGGGAGGACTCAATAGGATTTGGGGAGCTGGGTGTATAAACTGCTCTGCTCCAGCAGACCTCAATGGAGGAGCTGGAGTCGGGGCATGTGCCGAGGGGAGGAGCCCGGCAG